AAGAGAGCTGTTGTGAGTTTTACATTATCTTATTTATTAATCTGTTAATTGAGTTATTATGCTTACAAAATTATTTTATATAAGATTGCTCAGCATACAGTAATTCATTGACTCAAAGTAATTAATTTACTTAGTGGGAGCCATAATTGCTATTAGGCATTTTTAAAGACAGGATATCTGAATTATGTTCAAATGAAATGACGTGATATCTGGCATTTGCTTCAAAATACTCTGGCAAGAGAGTGGAAGGTGTGGCTAAAACAAGATTAACGTCCACAGAGATTCTTTATGCTGTATTTCCCACTTTTATATGTTTGAAAATTCCCCCAAATAAAAAAATTTTAAATGCATCTTTAAAAACTATTAAAAATGACAAAGTGCAAACATTTGTTATTTCTAAGTGGAATATTATATATTAATTATATTATTCTCTGAACTTTTCTGTATTTTGTTAAACCCCTCAAAAAGAAGGAGAGCAAGGAGGGAAGGAAGTGGAGAAAAGGAAAAAACAGAATAAGAAAGAAGACTGCAGTGTCTTTTATCTTTCTTGCCTGTGTGGTGAAACACAGTTGACACTTCTATTTTAACACCAACTTAAAAATTTAAAACATTTAAGAAGATTTTAAGTTAATATAAGGAACAAGTTCTAATAATTAAAACCATTCATCAGCGGACCTGGCTTCTGTGTAATTTGTTATCACTCATCCCTGGAGGGGGTTAATTGAGGTTAATTGACCTCTGGGGTCACTTCTAACTCTGATTCTATAAACCTGACTTTTTAGTTTATGTCATTCCTTCGCTTTTGAAACCAAGATTGATAACAGTCTCCTCTATCTTTATAAAATAGATTGCTAAGTAAAGAGTTATTCATTTAACAAATATTTATAAGCAACCCAGGGAAGTAGGTTAGTATAATTTACAGTATAGTGAGGGAGAGGGGTGGCAGGAAGATACATGGCTAAAGAAATAATTACAGTATAATAAAATAAATGATTGCGCTATGGTCAGAGGCTTTCAAGCATAGAAGGCACTAACTCTGGGGAAGTGAAGGAAGACTTCACAGAAGTGACACATGAGCTGATTCTTAAAAATGCTTTAAACAAATATAGATTTATTGTTCTCCCTTCAACCTCAGAAGTTGCACGGCACATCCATACAATGCACCTCTGTAGAGACAGCTGTTAAACAGAACAAGGAGATTCTCTATTTGTAAATAATGTAGAACTTTTCTAGCTGTAAATAATGTGGCACTATCTTCAAGAGATACTATTAGGTGAATAAAACCAGAGTACAGAAATAGAAATGTAAAATGTCTTTACTATTTTTGTGGTATAATTTTTACTGAACATATCTTTCAGGAATTTATTTGCCTGTGTATAACAGACTCTAACAAACAGTAGCTTAAAGGAATGCAGTATTTATTTATCTCAGATAGCAAAAAGTCTAGAGATGGGCATATCAGAGTTGGTGTAGCTTTCCTAAGAAGTCTTCCAGGGCCCAGGCGTCTCCTTACCTCCTGCTCACCATTCTTGTGTTGGGAGCCCTCTTTAGGATCCTTAGGTCTCTACTGTGCCTCCAGGCTGCTAGGCTATATTCTAGACAGGCGGAAGGGATAAGCCCAGAATGCCAAAGGTACACATCAGCCGAATCTGCCCCTTATATCGAAAACTCAGTAGAATTCTCAGGAACTTCACCTAGTGAATTTATATTTATTGGCCAGACTGTGCTACAGGATCACCTCTAGCCTCAGGGAATCCTGGGGAGGTGAGTGTTTTTGAGTACATTGTCACTCCAAATAAAATCAAGGGTGTGTTCGTAGTGAGGAAGGAAAGAGAGAATAGGTGGTAACTAGCAGTATCTGCCATGCTTTCTAAAGCTTAGAATGCTAAAAAAAACAATTTGGAGAAATGTTGGAAGAAAATAGATCAAAACAGATGAAGTTGTTTAACATATAATTGAAAGAAAGCAATTTGGTGAAAATTCTTGTGAAAACATCGATTAATCCTCTGGGTTACATCCAATGTGGTAATTACTTCCTTACTCTGATTACTTAACATAAGTGGTATTCATTTGTGACTCTTTTCCAATCAAGATTTAGCATGAAAAATATCCAAGAGTACTAAAATATAGTACGTAAAATGGCATGAAGACTTTTATTTACGATAATTTTTAAAATCCAGTACACTGAACGTTTACTAGATTACTTTGGGTGGCTAAAATAGGAATAAGATAACGAGAAGAAAATATTCCCAGCTTCTTTCATACTGCTTCTCTGCTGTACACTAAAAGAGACTCTTGCACAGTAAAATTTGGAGTTGTTTATCTGGTGATAAAATCTTAAGAGGTAAGAGCACAGTACTAGATAGTGGAATTGCAGGACAGATTTCAAGATGAACAATAATTTTATTTCTATTTCCTATAGAAAAGTATGTACCAATAATAGCAATAATTTGGTCTTAAAAAAAACAACAACAATTAACTGTCAGTCCACATAATTTTTTTAAATTCTCAAATCTTAGAATTTTAGAACTGAATATTAAATTTTAGAACTGAAATCCCTGAATCTTAGAACTGGAAGGGACTTTTTCTCCAGTTGCCCTCCTTTTAGTGATGAGAAGACCAAGGGCCTGAGAGCTTAAGGGATTTGCCCACAGTCTGATGTTACTGGTGGAAGTAGAACTGTTATCTAGGTTCCTGACTGGGCTAAATCACTTGATTTGGTTCTAACCAGATGATTTGGAAACAACTTGATTCCTTTCCCCAGTTACTAGGAGCAAAAGAGACAAATCTGGTCATACTGTACTTTCTCTTAGCAAAATTCTCTTCCTCAGTGCTTAGAACTTAAGGATGAAAATTGGACAGATTTGTGGTGGACATATGCTATTGTTGGTAACATTGATAACTTTGCCTTCTCCTCCCTATTTATTTACTATTCATTAGGTAAATAAACATTTTAAATTATTATTGGTCACTATAGGGTGACTCTGAGTTTCAGCCTTCATAAACTGAATGTTCTTGATCAGATTTAACCTCTTCAGACCTACTGCAATTAGAATTATAAGTACATAATTGAGAGTTCTTTGTAAATGGTGGGTAGTGTACAAATGATGGGTTTTCATTTTCATTATTATCACTGTTTTTGTTGTTTCTGGCCATGTGGCACTTAAAAATTGCTATTTATTTAATAGATGCTATTTTATGATTATAGATATCTTTATTAAAAGCTCAGAATCATTCATTTCCATCCTTAGAGTAATTCAAAATACAGTTTTTTGCTTACCTGGTTATTACTTTCATAAACTCAACTGCATGAGAGATTTAACCAATGCTTAACCTTTCTTGAGTTCTGTTCTTGCCCATAATCTCATTGTTGAATTTTTATGAAATGTAACAATATGCATTTTTATAGTGAGTGGGTTTGTAAACTATAAAACATTTGCAGGGTACTAATAAAATACATTTTTTATTCCTTTCTTTTAGTTGCTCTTTTAAAGGATAATTTTTAATTTTAGCTCCTTTTAAAAAATATTTTTTTGTTAACTGCTTAGTAGTCTTATGAGCCTCCATTCTCAATGATTTTCTTTGGGATATAATGAGGTTTAAATCTAAACCATTTCTTGCATTTAGGATTAAACAAGATAATGTATAAAAGTGCTTAGCCTAATGTCTGGTACAAATTACATTCCCATTTATACTGGAGTTCTATTAGATACTAGAAAGGATTCTTAGAAATCCTAAAGTTACAGAGATGAGAAACTTATACTGAGAACAAAGTAAACAGAACTGTGAAAGGTAGCCATCCTCTGGCCTGCTTCTCCGGTTATCCTGGTGACTCGTGGGGTGGAGAGTGAGGAAAGATGCAGAGAAGGAAGGTGTCAAGGTCTGCTTATAGATCCCATACTACCCAGCGGAGAGGCCTCTAATAAAAACTTCATGAAAGCCTTTTTGCAAAGGCAGTTAATGTGAAGTTGCAACCAAACTAGCAGCTATAGTTGCCACAGTTCTGTCTTTAGCTTCACGATGTTTTCCTCTGCCAAAATGTAGTAAGTCATTTCTAAGTTTGAAGCATTTAGCAAGGCAGAGCCACCAGAAATGTACACCTGATTTCCATGACATATATGGCAATGCTGTATTAGCTAGTGGACCCGCTATATGGACATATACATTATTGACATTAATGTATTATGGACACATACATTATTCCAACACAGATTGGAATAAAATGGAACCTGTACCCTGTTGGCAGAGTCATTCCAAAGGAATGAAGAAATCAGTAATCTTAAATTCTGTTATAATACCAAATTATTTCAAAACCAACTCATAATTAATGCCAAGTAAAAACACCATGTACCCATTAGAATATGGCATGATTGACTAAAGCACATTTGAAACCTTCAAAAAACAAGCAACAAAATTCAAAATACTAAGTGAAATAAGTCAGACAGAAAAGACAAATACCATGTGATCTCATTTATATATGGAACCTAAAAACAAAACAACAAAAAACCTGGACTCAGATTCAGGGAACATATTTGTGGCTGTCAGAGAGGGGGGTGGGAGGTAGATGAAATGGGTGTAGGTGGTCAAAAGTTACAAACTTGTGGTTTTAGGATAAATAAGTCATGCGGGTGTAATGTACAGCATGCTGACTGTGGTTAATAATACTACATTTTATACCCAAAAGTTGCTAAGAGTATATCTTCCAAGTTCTCATGACAAAGGGAAAAAAAAAAACATTTAACTATGTATGGTGATAGATGTTAACTAGACTTATTGGGATCATCATTTTGCTATATATACAATGTTGAATCATTATGTTGTACACCTGAGACTAATATAGTTGTAAGTCATTTATATTTCAATTTAAAAACTTCATTAAAAAGAAACAATCGAGAAAAATAGACTAATGTATAAATTCTTTATGGTTGAAAACTGAAGTCTGGCGTTAGTGATAAGATGGTGTTCTTGACACTCAGACAAGTCTTACCTTTATGTTTTAGTCAAAGAAGTTTGGCAGAGATCACAGAACTTATCCATACTGCTCTCCTTGTACATCGTGGGATAGTAAATTTAAATGAATTGCAATCTTCTGATGGGCCACTGAAAGACATGCATTTTGGAAATAAAATAGCTATCCTGAGTGGAGACTTTCTTCTAGCAAATGCCTGCAATGGACTAGCTCTGCTACAGAACACCAAGGTAAAACTGGGCAGGGTTTGCTTGTGTCTGGATGGCCTTTAGGTGGCTCTTGGTTGACTGTGAGAGGTACAGAGGTCTGTGTACCCTGCTGCTCCAACTCCACATCTGTAGATGCTCAGTAAAATTGTGATGATGATAATGATGATGACGATGGCCTGTCAACATCAGATAGAACTAGTAAATGCTAGGAAAGAATTTAGAAATTAATTTATATTTTTTTCTGATTACAGATAAAATTATTTGTTAATTATAGGATAGTATTAAATAGTCAATGTAAAGAAGATATAAATAAATATTACCTATAATCTTACTATACAGAGATAATCAATGTTAGTTAATATTTTGTTGTATATTCTTTCAGTCTTTTTTGTTTTTCATACTTTTATATATGTGGAGTTTTAGCAACATAGGTGAAAATTTGCATGTATAAGGTTTTTTTAATCCTGCCTATTTTTTCCCACTTTATGATGTGGGCATTTTCACATGTTATTAACTTTTTCATAAACCTTTTAAAGGCTGAACAATAGTCGATTATTTAGATGTTATATCATTTATTTAACAAATTCTTCATTTTTGGACATTTACGTTGCTTCTGATTTTTTTACTATCATAAGTAGACCTGAAGTAAACATCTTTACACATCAGTTTTCCTCATTCCAGATTTTTCTTTATAGAAATAATACCTAGAAGTGGTTCAAAGGGTTTAAACATTTTTAATATCCTTGATACATATTACCATACAGCTTTCTAGAAAGATTGTAGGACATATTACCATACCGCTTTCTAGAAAGATTGTAGGACATAAATCAGGACTAGTTGTCACTGTAAAATAACAGTAGCCAAAACAAGAATGAAGTTTATTTTTTCTCATGTAAAAGTATCTAGGAGTAGGCAGGCCAAGGCTGGCATGGTGAGTCTACAAAGCCAGGAACCCAGGCTCTTGCTGTCTCACTGCTCTGCCGTCCTTATCTGATAACTTTATGGCCCAAGATAATTGCCATTGTTTTCCCACCCCAGTCAGTAGGAGAGAGGGAGGAGGAAGGAAGGACTGAGAAGGGCCGATCTCCTTTCCTTGAAGGTCATAAGAGTATACATCTGGGCTTGCTAAGGTCAATCTCAGTGTAAGTCTGCTGTCCCAGAATCCTATCTGACTTAGCATTTCTCTTGGATTTTTAATTTCTTAACAGAGAGTGACTGCTAATAATTATGTCAGAATAAGCCAGCATGGGTTTGATAGATCTCCACTCTACATTTTCAGCTTCTGCCTCAGTTTTTGTCTAAGGTAGACTAGTAGTATGTGAAACCCATGTACAGCAGAGAGTTATGTTAAGATATAATGTCAAATCTAAAAGAAAACTAGCAATAACTCATCTCTTTTCCTAACTCTTTCAGACACCTCCCATTCAAGGACAGAATTCAGGGCAATTCCTGATAGTGAATATCTAGGGCCAGTTAACTAACTCCTTTAACTCAGGTGGTAAGAGAAGAATTTGACACTACTGCCTCAGCTGGCCACTTAGTGTATTATCCAATTACACTAAGGCCCACACAATGGCTTTCAAGAGTCACAAAGCCACCAGGTACCAATTCAAAGATTCAGTGGGAAACAAAGTTAGAGGTTCGGTATCTATGAAGTATGTGTGGGAAATGAAAGCTGTGTAGAGTGAGTAGAGAGTAGACTGAATGTGCTTGCTTGTATAATGTAAAGCTTTAACTAGTTTAATATTTGACAACACTTTGTTTTTGCAATAAACCTTTGGCAACAGGAAGCTCAAAAAAATAAAAGTATATATTTCATTTTTTAAAGTACTGGATTTGTTTCTCGAAGAAGTAGATAAGGAATGTGTAACTTGCAAAAGTTTGTTGACTTTTATTATCTACTGTGGAGGCCAGGGTGGTATCACTGAATACATGAAAAAGAAGAGTCAGATATGTAGAAAAAGTGTCAGGATCTACTTCCAAAGTTAGGAGTTACTCGAAGGAGACTTCCTGAAAATGATGATTTATCACGTGCAGCTGCAGAAGGTATATATTCATAACACTCTGAGAAGCCTAAATTTTATTTAGATAAATGACTGTTCTTCTAATTTTGGTCCTTTTGACTACAAGTTTTTTTATGTACATAGAAAAAGAGAAGCAATAGCTTTATGTTTTTTGGCTCCATTGGCAGAAGAAGAACTCTGCAAATATCTAAATAATTCTAGTTTTACTTAAGTGTCATCAGGTACTTCAACTAATTGAATCATTTTAGTTAATTCTAAAAACATATTGTTTTTTCCGTCCATTCATAGAATCAAGGTACAGCCTTTAGAAATATATACCATCAGAAGTAAGCCATTATGAGTAAGATTGGAAATTCAGTTTAAAAGTTCAACATGGAAGATAAAATTATTAGTTTATAGTAATAACACAAGTACAAATATTGTTGAAGCACACACAGTGTTGTGGTAAAAACAATGTTCTTACTACATCGAGATACCTATGGAGTAGTTGGAATTGGTTGTGGTATACCCATAATTCATAATTACATCTAAACAAGTGTCGACATTCTACCGATAAAAATAGAAGCTATTGTTATAAAAATTTACAAGTATCTCTAAAGTCAGAGTCTCTGAACTACAAGGTTTTGAGGATATAGCTGATGTTGAATACAATATGTTCCAGCACAGCAGTACTTGCCTTCTCTTTGTTGCCCATCATCAGTCAGATTTTAGAAATCTTTCTATCCAATAATGGTATTGAACCTTGTTATAAATGAGTTGTTAAAATTTTGTGACATTTTTTTCAACATCAATTGGAAATCTTCTATCAAGTTCAATGAATGGAACACCAGATTAGAGAATTACAATTAATGAAAGCAAAGCTTACATTAGAATTTTTCCCTATAAATCAAGAGAAGAATGGACCAAAATAAATAGTAAGAACTTAAATGCTAAACAAGATTAAAATTTGAAATTCTATCATTGTGATTTGGAGTATACCACTGTGCAGGAAGAATCTTTTGATGGTGCTCCTATTTTGAAAAAATTATACATTGCACATGAATGAAATGAAATTGAGAAGGCCTAGATTTTACAGCATCTAATTTTGACAAAACGTTTAAAAGAATTATAGGGATAATTACTTGACAAGTTTATCTTATAAAAATGTTTGTCAAAGAAAGGTACTCTTAAGGAAGGAAAAAGATAGTACCTTGGAAATATTTGAGCTAAAATAGTTACACTTTTCAATATGAAAAAGAATTAGAATTAAGTATAACCTCCATTTAGCAAATTTGCTCTGAGCTTATCAGGTAACTCAGAACCAGTAGAAAGAGCATTTCCTCAATTAAAAATATTATAGTCTATTAATCAGACTCAATTGAAGGTATCAGTAATTTCAAATTAATCATAAAATGTAACCGTAAAGAATATTACTGGCAGTTTTATTTTAAAATACCATATTTTTAAAAACACATTCTTCAGAAAAGTGCCAGTGACACAATATTAGAGACAGATATGGATGGTTAAGAAACCAATTAAAATATGTGAATGTATACCAAGAATAATTATTCTACTGGCTATTTTATTCAGATCATCAATATAAAGAAGTTATTTTTTATTTGTTTTAATGTACATAAATATGTTATTTTTATTTCTTTTAAAATTTTATTTTTGCAAATAGTTTTTGAATAGAACTACTTAACAAGTACACCAGTAGAGTAAAATCAATTATTAGTTAATAAATATACACTTTAAAATATATAAATTTTTAATTATTTTAGCACTCCCTTTTACTCTCAGGTATCCCAGTTTGGATGATAAATATGTAATGTCACCACTTTAAATACGTTTCTCAGAAATTATTTGAGATCCGTCTGCTTACATCTTTTTGGCAGAATTTAGTAACATAGCCACACTTAGCTATACGGGAGGCTAAGAAATGGAAACTTTATTGTGGTTAGCCATGTACCCAGCCAAAACTCTGGAAATTACAGAGGATTCTGGGAGACGAGTAGCTTTCTGTCCTACCTCCCCATCATGCTTTTTCTACTAGCGTATTTTTCCAGAGACAGATCTGCTAGTTTTTAGGAAGAAAATGGTACAGTACCTTTAATATATAGTTTATAGTCACATGAAAAGGAAGCTAAAGTAAGAAATGAATCAATCAGCCATATAAATGGAATAATAGATCATTTCAAACCTCCCTCCAGAGATTTGTTACCATTTAGGCATTCCTTTTATTTTATTTACCCTCAAATTGCTCTGTTTTCTATGTGTATAGTCTACTTTAATGGGTCTCACTAAATTCTCTCTTTTACTAGAATTCACGTGATAGCAGAAAGGTGACTGATCCATTGTCCCTGGAAGCTACTTTCTGACTGCATGGTCCACCTTACCTCTTTATCATACTTGCTGTGGTCTGTGATGAAACTTGAGTCTTAGAGAAGGAGAAGGTCTCAGAAAGTGTGGTCTGGTATAGTTTCTGGGCGCCTTGAGCTGCACATGACTAGATCTGGCCACGTATACTGGCCATTCATACCTGAGAAGAAATGTTCTGGACATAATCACTGATCCACATTTTAGTACTATCCCTCAGGCTGGCCCTAATTTAAAAAAACAAGGCTTATCGCCATTAGACAAATTCCTGTTTTCTCTAATCATTAATTTTAACTTACTTTAAGCTAGTCTGATGAAATATCATGTTAGGTTAAGATGTAGTATTAAGGAAATATATAACCATGTTGTAATGACACAAACAAGTATTCACTTGTTTTTACCACTTCGCCCTATGGGAATAATATTTAACGTGTTTAATTTTCTTAGATAGCTTGTATCATGCACACAATATTTCTTTCAGCATGGTTCAAGTTCAGAGAAAATAGAGGCTTTACTCCCATCAAAATCAAATCAGATTCATAGCCTGTGAAATCCACTCGGTGTTTTGCATTCAGAAGCATCACTACAAATGTTCCAGAATCTAAGACCTCCACCATCTGCTCCATTAGATGCTGAATTTCA